TTAGTTCTCTGTGGGATCCGACTCCAGACTTTTACACCGGATTATATTTGCTACGACGGCTTATCCTTTTTAGGACTAGAGTTGGGCGTGATCAATTCACTATAAAAAATTAGAATTAGCTAAGAAATCCGTCTCTGCTCTTTTGCTAAACTGGAATAGGATTTTTGAATAATATATCGCTATTCCGTCGCTAAAGAGGATTAGCAACGAATCTTTTTGTATATCCGTCGCTAATTTATTGTTTTTTAGTAGTGATTGCACTCTTATCTCTGTAATCATTTGACCCAAGCTCATTTCACACTCCTTCAAAAAACCCCATGACTAAATCCAAGGATCGCCTATCCGTTGAGGTAAAGATGATTGTATCATCAATATAAAATAAGTGATTGATCATGGGACGCAATTTGACTAATAAAACCATAATAAGCTGGATTTTCAAATAAAGTATTTACGCTAGATAACAAAGCTTCAGACGTTAAAATAAATAATGTCGGAGATAATGGATTACCTTATTTAACCTTATAGGTGACTGAAAGAACCCGAATCTTGGCAATGAGAATCACCAATCTCAATATAGTATCAATGAGAATTTCACAAGATCCCATTTTCTCAAAACTTAAGTGAGAAAAAGATTTAAAATAAAAAATCGGTCATGCGCCTTTGACATATCCAATTTTATCACTACTTATAATATATGGACATTCAACTTTTCTTCAATGTTATCAACGTGATTTTAGAATGAGACTCCAAATATGTAAGAAATTAGATCACAATCTATTCAAATATACATTTTATGATTTCGTTGTGTTACATATGACGTAAAATATTTGTCATATTCATCAAATGAAGAGAATTATTTCTCACACTTATGATTCAACGCTATTTTCCTTTGTTAAATCATCTCAAAAATTTAAATTACTACTCGGACCAACATCTATATATTATTTTTAATACTCAAGACCTTTTGATTGAAAATATTTTCACAAAAATTAATTCCCAAACTTCCCAATTTTTTATTTATCACTTTTACAGCTAAAAATTGGATAAATTTGCTTATGTTTCTGGTCAAAATCGCATAGGCTAACCAGTTTTCGCACGCACAATTGAAAAATAGTCAGTATTTATAAAGTCACTGAAAGCGACTAGTTTATGCGGAGATAAAATCTGGACAGAAATACTCTAGCTGAAACACAGAAAGTTCCGGCGTATATGATAGATTATGGAACTCCTACAAATAAGCTACCAATATATTATGTTGGAATTCCAACACATTATAAACTATTATGCTAGATTTTTTTCGAATGTTTAAAGGTGCTTTTATACAGATTTTATTTATATATTGGATTATTTTTGAAACCGTGGATAATTTTGAAAATAAATCACGTGTTATAAAACAATAAATGAAGAACAAGAGTAATATTGCAGAGAAAGAGGGAGAGGGAATTCTTATTGAATTTGGGATGAATTACAATGGAATAAAACCCTCTATTTATAGGGAGAGGGTGACTTAGACACCAAGCAATGAACCCTAGAATCTCTCTAAATATAGACATTCACCATAAATAGAATTCTATTTATAACACTCCCCCTGAATGTCTATTCAACAGATAATGTGCCTCTTTAAAACCTTAACTAAAATAAAATCCAGTGGGAAAAAAATTCTAGAGAAGGAAAAAGAGTCCACATATCTAACAATACGCCTTTTGGTTGCCTCGTTAAAAACCTTGCAAGGAAAACCCAGTGGGACAAAACCTCGTAAGGAAAAAAGAGTACAACGCGTATAAACTCCCCCTCATGAGAGCATCACTTCACATCCTTAAGCATTTGCATTCCAATCTGGTGCACCATCTTCAAAAGATCTTTGGTAGAGATTTGATGAACAAATCAGCCATATTAACTTGAATGAATATATTGCACCTTGAAATCATCATTCTTGATAGATATATAATGTCTTCATATAATGTCGTGGAATGGTTTTTCAATATCTCCATAGAGGTATTCTCGCTATCACATTATCATGCTTATAGTTATAGCAAGATACATATGTGCACAGATTGCACTGAGGATGTGGTAATTCAAGATCAAGAATTGTATATGCTTCAAGCAATTTAAATCCTTCATGGATTGCCATATAAGTTAAGTCGTATAAGTCATATAATAGACTTTAGATGCATATCAAGTTTTCATGTCATACTAGACATACAAGATATCAAAAACTGATTGCACATACCATTGACTTTATACTTTCAAGTGTTTGAACTACATGTTCAAAACTACATGGCTTTCATATGAAACCAATTCTATTTGAATTGTGTCTCTTTCATTTGGCCAATATTTTTGTGTCTATATTCGACAGACTAAAGATCCTCATCTATACTTAGCGCTATCATAGATGTCGTCGACAAACATTTTATATCGGTTCCAACCTCCTTATTTTTCATAAAGACATAACATAGAGATCTCTTCATTCATATATTCAGGTACTTGAATCTCTCATGAGATTTAATGAAGTGTTATGTCATGTGATCTTCTAGATCACTTGCCTCCTTTATTACGATCATTTTGATCATTTGCTCATCTTCTTTATCAAGAAGTTTATTTGAAATCGATTTCTCTATACGCTTTAAGCGTACCATAGACTTTGTCCTTCTAGGACTTATTCTAATAGGAGCATTTGCAGTGAGAATATAGTTACTTTCTTTGGGCCAGCAAATGCGTCTGGCATGCTTTGCAATATATTGCAAATGAAGTATCGTTTTATGAACTTCAAGTTCATATTATCTTATTCGAGTATCTAGATGTACAAATGAGATAATTCATTCAACGTAACTTTTTTTCAACTGTTTATCATGTCTCCCCCTCAAGTTAGAAAAACTAACTTGTTACCTCAACTTTGAGAATCCACCTTTGTGCGTTCTGGTGTTAATCAAAATATACACCACACATCAATAATAATAAGATGAAATTATTTGGTTCCTGACCCTGAACCACTTGTGAGGGGAGAAAATAATATACTTTCGTATATAACGTATATCAAACTGATAAACAAAAATTTGTTCATAAGCAATAGTTTAGCTATTAAGTGGAGGCACTCAATAAATCATTTTGCTAAACCAGCTGTGATGTAAACCAACTTATCAAGAAGAACTATCTTGAATAAAAAATCTGAAAATTATGCTCTAAATCAAATTATTGAGCAAGTTACCTCGCAAACACCATGTTGCGGGTTAATAATAATCGCACATGTAACCATCTCACAGATGCATCTTATGTGGTATACATGGCAGATGAATGGGCCCATATTCACCTTTGATATTTCCAGCATTCATGGGATTCAATCCCAATTTTAGTTGGTATATTAATTAATAAGAACAAGCAACGTAAGAGAATACGTAAAGAACTTTCTAGTTCTTTAATATTTACCCTATGAACTCTCTTTTATTTTTGCACATCATACTTAAATTGATATGGCTAAACCAATTATGCCAACTGAATAAATTATCATTATTGATAAAGTTCAGGTTCACACCATGACATGTGCAATTATCAATAAACTCCAAGTTTATTATGATATGGGTTTTTATATCAATAAACATCCACTATATTGTGGTATTCTTTTGTTTGTGTAGTACAAATTGGAGAATAAAGCGGGTAGCTTTTCACATACATATTACCCCGCTACAAGTTGTAGTAATAAAAGATATTAAATTTTTCCTTTATTTATAGTCTCAGTATGACCAACCGCTTTCGCGAATACTTTAAAAACTGAATAAGTTTCTTTGAGACTTACTACAACACAATACCTTATTGGTAATCAATTGTGTTTTTTCCAAAATGGTATAATTGGCTCTTGCAGAGTTCTCAATTAATTTTGTAGTACCAGATATTTATCAACATCCATATGGTGAATATCTCTTTTAAAGAGAAAGTTATACCATTATGGTTATGGTCAAAATTATATGCAAGATATGTTTCTTGCATTAATGTTACTCTTTAATAATCACATTACCAAAATTTTTGGCGTACAATAGGTACGTGACCAATGACCATTCATGCTATAATAATGACATTGTTTTCTTATATCATCTCAAACCTCCTTTTAGAGGTGAGTGTGGTATATTCACTACCACTGTAGCACATTCATATTCTTCCAAGAATGAATATGTATTCATAAATTAGATGTTTTCACATTCACATCATGAATGGACCATAGTCATCTGTATGTGCTTTACGAAATCTTATGTCAAAATCGATGACAAACATTAACTTCACAGAGTGAAGGCTTATTTTGAGAATCCTTATTATTCTCATTATTACAATGATGACGATTATAATTTCGTCTATTGCCACGTCCACATCCATTGACCTTCACGGTAATAATTTTATCTTCTTTCAGACTTATCACATATTGCTATCACATTCTCTTAAGGGAATGAGAATGGAGCAAATTCAATGGGACGAGTTTTCAATTCTTTGCCCAGAATCATACCTGAATTTGATCATGGCAAGACATAAAAATTTTACCACTTCAAGTGGTTATAATTTCTTACGAACTCTATTAGAGTTATAATCAAAATGTATTGTCCTTGCTTGTATTTAAAATTAAATTATAGAATAAAAGAGAAAAATAAGGTAAAATACTTACCTTAAATCCAGGATTTAATCATGAAAAAAATTCATGGAACAATTGACAATCATTATGCTCAATCACAGAGCTTCTACTCAATTGGTTAGAGTCTCGTGCTGATAACGTGTTATGAAATAATAAAATAAGAAGAAGAGTATAAAAAGTAGAGAGAGAATTCTTATTGATTTTGGAGTGAATTACAATTGAAAGAACCTCTATTTATAGGGAGAGGTGACTTAGCCACTAAGTAATAAACCCTAGAATCTCTCTAAATATAAACATTCACCGTAAATAAAATTCTATTTATAACATCACATAATTTATGATTTTTTCCTATATTTTTGTTGAAAAACTATTTTTCGCTCTCCAATAAATACTACTAACAAAAATATTTGGCATAACGTAAGTCATTTTGCGGAAAGATATTTTTCACGTAGAACTTAGAACCTATTTTAGCGGAGCATCGATTTTGCCCGGAGTATCGCCGAGCAACAGAGTCCCAATTATAATTTGCTGAAATAGGTGAGATTAATTTAATTCCTATCATTTTGCGTTATTAATTCAATTCCCCAAAAGATAAATCTTTAAGCAAATGATAAATTTGTTTAATAATTGGCTTTTTATTTGTGTGTGCCTGTTGTGGTGTATTTGATGTGGCGCAGTCGCTGACTAATAACTGTTGCTGTTACTGCTCTCATTTTTCCCATTTATAGAAACCCATGATTTTCAATTGCAGAAAACTTTCACCAGCCAACAAGCATAATTATAATTGTTCTATGGTTTTAAGTTATGTGCACTGACAATGTAAAAATTATGCTATCCGTGAATTTTGACTTGTGATAGGATGCTATTTGCCATACTTACCTGATTACTAATTAATGTTTATCAAGATATTTACCTATAATTTGCCCAATAATTGACCTGATAGCATGAATTTTGACTGTGATAGAAGATTAGTTACCATCTTGCACCTGCCTTGAGTAATTCCATGGGATATCTACTAGCTACCACTATCAACAGAAAAGTTACCATCTTTACTTGATTAGCGGTTAATGCTCATCAAGAGATTTATCTGTAATTACCTAATAATTGACCTGATAATGTAAATATATTTTATACTATCAATGAATTTTGACATGTCATAGGAGCTTAGTTATCATCATTATCTGATTTCTATTTAAAGTTTATCAAGTGATTTACATATAATTATCCAATAATTGACTTGATAGACTGATGTGTAACATATTTATCCATCATTCCATTCTCTTGGAACAATGAGCCTAAATATCAGAATTGTTTGCATTTGAGCGCCTCAACCCCATCTAATCTCACCTTGATTTCGCTCTTTTTATGTTGGCTTAACTTGTAATGCACATAGCAGTCCTACTGTTACTTATACTAGGACCCTTACTCGCTAGAGTGCTTCTCCATGGTTCAAGCTTTGGTTGCATTCTCGATGATTTCGTTAATAAGTACAATATCGTCAGCAAATAACATACATCATGAAACCTCATTTTGTATTGTTTTGGTTATCTCACCTATCACAAAGGTAAAAAAGTACGCGCTCAGTGTCGATCCCTAGTGTAAACCCACGGTTATTGGATATTCCTTTGTATCTTCTACTATTGTTCTCATGCTAGTGATGGGACGGCTCCTTCATACATGCCCCACAAGATGAAATCTTTAAGCAAATTGTTTATATGCAAGTTTTAACTTTGATACTGTGATAAATTTGTCTACTTGTTTAATAATTGGCATTTTTTCCTTTTCTGGTGTATTTGTGTTGCGATAGATATATACATGGCTGTATAATTGCATGATTCTGATGGGGCATCACGAGACAAAGTCTTCCACTAGTAGGGATAGGTCTCCATCACAACAGAGGCGCATGCATAGGCATGGGACTAAGGCCATGGATTTGGATAGAGAATTGTCATCTGAAAGAAGAGAACGAAGGTCAGGAAGAGATGTAATTGAGCATAGGTCTCCTAGGCCGAGACATGATTACTCCTATTCGGCTTCAGATCATCAAAGCATGGATCATCACAGATCCAGTTCAAGTTTTAATGTTAACACAGAAAGACAAAATGAGGTGCTTTATTTCTGAATACCCTTTTACGTTGGAGTATTCTGCTTCTTCTTCTTTTATGCACTTGTTTACTATATTGCTATTGGACATTCTTAGAGAATTGTTAAAAGATTGCTTAAACTAAATTCTGGCATAGACTGCCATTTGTGGAGTTTGAGAATTGAAATACGTGGGCATTGAATAATTAAGTGGAACGCGGAAATTATAAGAAACAGAATAGTAAGATAAGTAAAACAACGGAAAAGGGCCAAAACTGCCCGTGAACTATTGCCTTAGGGCAATAAATACACTTCGGTCACCTATCAGTCCAAAAATGTCCCCGCCGTGACTTTTTGGGCTCATTTCTGCCCGTATGACTAATGGCCACCCCAGGATTTGCGAGACGATAACACCACCATAAAACTTCAATAAGGCCGTTGAAGTTGCATAAAGCCGGAAAAAATGGAGATCGCTGATACTTTTTTTTTTTTGAGAATGATAACATTTTATAAATATAAATCAGCACAAAGTTTGTGCTGCTAAAAGTGACAGAATACATCCCCAGAAAAGGAAAAGAATCCCCCACTACAAAAACTTACAAAAGATTCTATGATATCAAGTATGGAGTCACTATCATTTACAGGGAATTCTTTACACCAAAAAAGAAAAAGTACTAAACAGTTCATTTTGATTTTCTGAATGGAGTTGCTAACATCCTCAAAACATCTGGAGTTCCTCTCGTTCCAGACTGACCACCAAATGCAGGCTGGGATCTTCTGCCACCATTTCTTCTGTCTGACTCCACCTGTCACACCAGCCCAGGCATCTCAAGAGGTCGGATGTATCTTTTGGCATGACCCAGTTCATTCTGACAATACTTAGAAACATGTGCCACAGTTGAGAGGTAACAACACAGTGAAGAAACAGGTGGGAGTTGTCTTCTGCTTCCCTTCCACAGAGATAGCATCTGGAGGTCAGTTGATATCCCCTTCTCTTAAGTTTTTCATCAGTCAAGCAAGCTTTTCTGGCCACCAACCATACAAAGCATAGCAACTTTTTGGGTGCATTTACCTTCCAAATTTGTTTCCAAGGCCAACTCCTATCAGAATGAGCATTTCCCATTAGGCTTTTGTAAGCAGAATTCACTGAGAAATATCTGGTGCTTGACCCCTTCCATACCAAAGAGTCCTCGCAATCAGAGAGGCCTTGCAGTTGGTCAATTTGGTTTATCAATGTAGCAACTCTATCCACTTCCCAATCATTCAGCAGTCTTCGAAAGTTCAAATTACAGCCCTGTTGTTCCCTTACTTCTTCCACCTTGGCATGAGGATTTGAAGCTAACAAATATAGATCAGGATATTGGTCTTTTAGAGGACCATGTCCTATCCAGTTGTCATCCCAAAAAGCAGCCTTCCTACCATTTCCTAGCTTGACCTCAGTGTTCTGGAAGAAACTAGGCCACAGATTCCTAATTGCCTTCCAGTTACTAACCCCATAAGAGGAAGTAACTCTCTTAGTGCACCATTGGGAGTCTTGACCATATTTTGCTTCTATTACTTTTCTCCATAAAGCCTGCTGCTCATGGTTGTATCTCCAGAGCCACTTAAATAGTAAGCTTCTATTATGTAGTCTCAGATTTCTGATGCCCAAGCCACCATTAACTTTGCTTGAGATGACATTCTGCCACTTCACTTGGTGAAAAGCTTTTGTTTCCTTGTTACCTTGCCAGATAAAATTTCTTCTGATAGTTTCCATTCTCTTTTCCACCTTAGCTGGTAAAGGGAATAGAGACATCACATATGTTGGTATAGAGTCTAACACACTGTTTACTAGCACCACTCTGCCACCAAGCGAAAGATATTGAGTTTTCCACTTGGCCAATCTCTTTTCACTTCTTTCAATTATCGCATCCCATATCTCCAATGCTTTATTTTTAGCCCACAAAGTCATACCTAGGTAGGTAGTTGGCAGGTTGCCAATTTCACAAGCCAGAGTTCCAGCTAATATGTGCATATGAGACACCACATTAATGGGGAAGAGCTGACTTTTTGTCCAATTGACATGGAGCCCAGAAGTTGCTTCAAACACAGTTAAGATTAGTCTGATGTGCCTCAGTTGATCAACCTCAGCGTCACACAAAATCAGAGAGTCATCTGCATATAGCAAATGGGAAATATCCATCACACAGTCAGGTTTGTTGGATACCTTGAATCCCTTAATCCAACCGTTTGCCTTTGCCCTTTTATCATACAATTTAGACCTTCCATGACTAAGATAAACAAAAAGGGGGAGAGAGGGTCACCTTGCCTAAGGCCTCTCTACGAGGGAAAGAAACCTTCGGGTGAGCCATTAATCAAATAGAAACCTGACAGAGCTAATGCAGAACAATATCCATTTCAGCCATTTGCTCCCGAATCCCATGTCCTTCATTATTTTGATTAGAAAGTTCCAATTGACATGATCAAATGCGTTCTCTAAATCAAGTTTACATAGGATTCCAGGTTTTTGCCCCCTTTGTCTAGAATCCACACATTCATTTGCTATTAGAGCTGCATCTACAATCTGTCTTCCCTTGATAAATGCCATTTGTTGTTCGTCCACTAGCTTGTTCATTACAGACTTGAGCCTTTCTGTTAACATCTTAGAAATAATTTTGTACACACTCCCAATTAGGCTGATAGGTCTGAAGTCCCTCAGTTCCTTGGCTCCTTTCTTCTTTGGAATTAGTGCAATGTAAGTTGCATTTATGCTTTTTTCAAAGAATTCCTTTGAATGAAAATTCTCAATAGTTTTCATGATGTCTTCCTTAACTACTGCCCAGCATTTCTGAAAGAATCCCATAGAGTAGCCATCAGGCCCTGGTGCCTTGTCAGAGGCACAAATTCTAATAGCAGCCAGAACTTCCTCTTCCTCAAAAGGTCTTTGTAACCATATAGCCTCCTCATCAGTCAATTTTGGGCAGTCAAGATAGTTGAAATCTGGTCTCCATGTCTCAGTTTCAGTGTAGAGGTTGGTATAATACTGTAGAATTTCATCTTTGATGACCTCAGGGTAAGAAACCTGCTCTCCATTGATCTCAAGTTTGTCCAAGTTGTTGGCTCTCTTATGTGAATTTGCCATTCTGTGGAAGAATCTTGTGTTCTGGACCTTTAGCCATAGTATTCTGGACCTTTGCCTCCAAGCAATCTCCTCAAACTTTGACATCTCCTCAAATTCCATCTCTAAGCTTGTCTTGAGAACAAGTTCATCTTCAGTCAAGTTCCTCTGCTCCTGTAACCTGTCTAGGTTTTGAACTTCATTCAAAGTTTCTGTTTTCCGACTCTCCAAACTGCCAACGTTGTTAAGATTCCACTCTTTTAGTTTCCCTTTCAACATTTTTAGCTTAACTACTAAAATGTAGTCTGGTGCACCTGTGACATCAAAAGAGCTCCACCATCCATTAACCATCTCAGAGAAACCTTCTACTTCCAGCCACCAGTATTCGAATTTGAAGTAAGATTTTTTCTTCTCCCATTCTCCACATTGCAGCAGGACAGGTAGATGATCAGAGTCTAGCCTAGGCAATAAGGACTGCTTGATGTTGCTAAATTCTTCATCCCATTCAGTCGATATCAAGAATCTATCTATTCTTGATGCTGCAATATGATTATTTCCTTTGTACCATGTATAAATATCTCTTGCCAGTGGAAGATCAATCAGTTCCAGTTCCCCTATCAAGTCAGAGAACTCCTGCATAGTACTATTGTGTCTCCCCCTACTTCTTCTTTCTTGTGTGTATCTGGTGGTGTTAAAATCACCACAAACCACCCATGGACCCTCGCATACCCCCCCTGAAAGCTGCTAATTCCCACCAAAGATCGCTGGATACTTTTTTGAAGGGTCCAAATTTTAGTTTTGTTCCTCTCTTTTCTGCCAGAAAAAGATGAAGCTGCTTATTCTTGTTCTTTAGATTCAATCATCTCACTATTTCTTGAAAAGAATTGTGGCTGGAAAAGCGGAGCTTTGCCGGAATCTTCTTTTTCGGTTAACTCCTTCTCTCTATCTTTATGTTTTTCGGTGAGATTTTATGTTTTCCAGGCGGGTTAGTGTTTAGGTTAGAAAACTAGGTATTGAGGTGGGTTTATTTAACTGGGGTCATAGTTTAAATTTGGACCAGTAATAAAATGCCACGTGAAATTTAAATAATTTTTTTAGTTCAGTTTTGACCATTAGTCATAAGGGCAGAAATGAGACCAAAAAATAGCAGTGGGCGCATTTTTCAACTGATGGGTGGGCGGAGGTTATTTATAGCCCTAAGGCAATAGTTCAGGCCTGTTTTGGCCCTTTTCCAGTAAAACAATGAAAGAAGATAACAGTATGAATCTCATTTATATCTCATAAGACAACCTAATTTAACTTGGCCTCAGACACACCCCAAAAGAAGGGGGTTTTTGGAGATTACATCTACAAAATAGATAACAAGCAAGGAATTGATGGATGTTGGAGGTTGCGTTGCCTTGAAATTTCTACCTTGCAAACAAGAGAGTAGAGGAAATTTGACTAATGTTGTTTGGTGGGGGTTCTAGAAGAAAGTAAAAACTTGAGATATCTAAAATCTGAAAGAGGAGTAAGATGAGAACGATGGGGCAAGGAGTAGTAGGCAGCGATTTACAGCAGCAAAGACAAGCTAGAAAGGCATGATTGACTTAATCAGTGATTGAATATCCATCTTCTTTTTCTTCAATAGGTGAATATCCATCTTTTCTTGAACCTTGTAACCAACAGTGGTTCGCTTCCTTTGTTTGTTCTAAAAATAAAATGAATGTTAGAATACCTAGCATACTCTTCTTTCAACTTTAGTTGAAGATTCTGTACTTCCAGTTGCAATTTGCATATATGACCTCTCTTTCACGGGGAAAAATAATTTAGTTACTATTCCATCTTCTTCTCAGGTCTTCAACTCAACTGGTCCCGAAAACTGGTAAGCCTCTGATGGAGCTTTGGTTCTTACTTTAACTCTTCTTCTCAGTACATGTCCATAAAATTCCTTGCCTTTCTTTATGCCTAGTCAGGTTGAAAATCAGGAAATCTTTCTTGTCAATAATTCGTGAAGCGTTACCCATATTTAGAATATGGCATGAAGTTATCAAGGTTTATAGTTCTTAGTTTCCTTGGTACTTTTCTGGGGTGTTGGTACTTGGTAGCAGTTATATGGTGTGATGAAAAGAGCAATAAATAGCTGAAAATAATATCTATTGTGGTGAAATTAATATTTTATTGATTTGATGGATAAAAAAGTTCCACATACAAGGTGCATAAAAAAGTTGATGAATTTTTCAAAACAAGGTGTATATGGAAGTAGAAATCCTGTATCAAAACATTATCCTCCAAAAAAAATACTTCAATCATCAACACTAACTGAAATATCAGTTCTGACAGTAGACAAAAGATAAAAGAGGTCCACTAATATGTGCTAGTGTGTTTTCAACTTTTCGAACGGTTTTCAGTTCCTCTATCTGTCTATTGTCCAGAGCGTCGAAGGACTTATTTCCCATGCTTTCCTTCTCTGCCTCTTCTAAACTTCCTAGATTCTCTCTGCTGTTCCTAGCATCACAAAATCAACTCTGAATATAAGTTCCTAAAGCCCCGTTTGGCTGGGCTATGGTGAGACCTAAGTTGCGCGGAAACTTCGTTTTTGGTGCCGCACCCGTCTCGACACGGGACAGGAGCGGGTGCGGGAGCGGGATACGTCCCGGATTCGGTCAACTAACTTCGGATACTTTGACCTGAGTCCATCGACAAATTTGGGGAGAAATTGAGATTTTGATTTCTCAAAATGAAAATAAAACAGATTTAAGACATGGGAAATGGCATACCTTCAATATTGTAGTACTTTTGTCTCATATTTGCTACTTTGTGTTTCGGAAAAACCAAGAATTCAAGGGTTCGTGTTCTGAGTTCGGACTTCTGGTAGACAGTAGCAGCAGTATAGATAGAGAGTTGGTGGAAGGCCTTGAATGGCTTTTTTTTTTTCTCTTTATAGTTCTATTTTTTATAATTTTGAATTTTTTTAGCCGAATCCCCGCACCCGTATCCATACCTGGATCCGCACCCCCGAATCTTAAAATTTAAATTTTGCTGAATCCCACACTCGGATCCGTGCCCGTATCGGATGCCCGCACCGGAGTCCTAGCAACTTAGGATGAGAGGCTCTCGCTTCTCTACACATTTCATACTTTTCACAATCTTGAATGATGAAATTAAAACATTGATTGACCGAATTGCTTGTCATCAAATCTAAAATAAAAAGGGAGAGCTACTCTCTTCTTAAAATGAGAAGAGGAAGAAAACATGAACAACTCCACTGCAGCTATTGTGTCAAGAAGGAAGTGTAATGGTCGATTATCTCATGTGACTATTTCTTAGTGCATAGTATTTTTCATTATTGCTGACCGTCTACTGTATCATAATGTTATGAGGAATAAAGGAGTACATGTCCTTCAAATAAGAAAAGAAAGGAAAGGGCTGCTGAGTAGACTTGTAGTCATGCAAAACAGTCAGGTTTTATCTTTCTATGCAATGTCCAAAAGTTGTGGCATCTTTTGGAGAATACTTATCCTTTTCTTGACGCCTGAGTGGCATACTGGTGTCGCCCATTGCTTTCTTACTTATTAAGTGAGCATGAGCATAGCTATATCTACCTTTTGAAAGTGCAATCACTAACCCTGTTACCTTTCTTTTGAGTCAATCATTACTTGCCTGAGCAGGAAGGAAAGCAATGATCCCGTGACTAAAACGAAAGCAAATGAAGAGTACCTGGAAGCTAAAGAGGAGGTAAATGATTCTGCCATTGTTATTATTTTATTTTTAATCTAAACTTACCTTCTGTTGGGCCTAGAAAACTGCAGCACAATTTGATTTTTTCCCCATTTCAACTGTTTAAATTTTGGGTATTGCAAAATGGAATATTTGCCTCTACATTGTCGATTGTCCTTTAACTTCATATACTAAGTAGCTTCAACCACTGTTATGCAGCAAATGACATTGTTAAAGCTGTCCGGAGATCTTACTACAGAATCTGAACAACACACTGGTGGTAATTGTGTTTCGTTTTAGCTTCATATCCCAAAGAATTCTTCTTTTCATTCTCTCGTCCTCAAGGAGACTTTTGTCGGAGATTCTGATCCACATTATACTCAAACCTTTAGGTTGAATATATAGATTTCTTCATGGTCTCCTCTGTAATCCTCTTGTACAGTTCTTTTTTTTTTTAAAAAATGTTTACAGTACTCACTGCACACACACACATGCATCTTGCCAACATGCAAGTCCAAGTATCTATTATGACAAAGAAGTAGAAATTACTATTCATTTCTTAGAGAATTTCTGAAATGCTTGGTTTTTCAAATACTGGCCCTAAAATCAAGTAGATTCTTATTGAAATTAGGGTTTTTCGGATATTGTCCCATAGATGTTACATGTCCATTTTAATGGTCACACAGGTTTTGCTACGAAATTATGAGACTAAGGTCTTTGGTTATGGCTTTGCCCCATCACTACTTTAGCTCATCATATTTTACTTTCTTTTATGTTCTGAACGATTTCCAATTATAAGAAAGGGAATGAATTTTGATGAAGGTGTCATAAGATGCACTTTTGGTGAGCTATCAATGTTTTACTTCATATACCTATTCCATTAACTTGCTTAACCGAAGCTTAACCAATGTCTGTTTTGTTTCTTTTCTTTTTGTTTTGGGAGGTGTCTGGATGGACTAGTACACTTTCCCAGTTCTTTGTGAAACCAATTTCACATGAGAACTCTCTTTTCTCTATCTTCAATAAATAGGGAAAAGGGTGAAATTTGTACCTTGAACTTTGCGAAATGCTCCGGATTTCAAGGCCTTCGTTAATAGTTGGGGTTAGAACTTAAATCTAGCTTTGATGTTATGAAATTGGGGTAGATTTACCTTATTGACTAACGGCATAAGCTTTCTGACACATGGCCTTTTTTACAATCGAAAAGGGGTCAAATTTGCCTTTGAACTATGCAAAATGGTCCAGATTTGCCCACTTCTGTAGCTCTACTCTCTCCCACAAGGGTAAGTCTAGCCCACTAAACATGTGTCAGTGCACAGAACCAAATGGTTTCTCTATAGTTGATATAATGTTAATCATATGACGTAAATTTAAGCCTATGTATAGATACCTGGGTTATATTTTGTATGATGCTTGGAAGATGTTAAGGAGAGAATATGAGGTTGAAGTACAAGGAAAGTACTAGGTAAGGTATATGGACTTTTTCTGCCTTCTCTTAGCTCCCAAATTAGCTTGCATAAAAGTTGCTGGACGTATTTGCATTACCTATTTTTCTGTGTATGTTGTGTAAGCCTATTAATCCTTATAGGATACAGACTGATTTTAAGATATATTTACCAGCAGAGGGGAGGAAGGAGGAAACCAAGATTTCACTGGAATACAACACCGACATGAAGAAGGCAAGACTCCATTCAACACTGGTTGCTCTCCTCGACGATCCTGTGCTATCTGATGTACCCAAAAAACCAACTCTGATGGATGTGGACACCCTTATCAGCTTGGAACTTGGGAGTGCCATGCGCATCTCTATCCTCAAATTGGATGGCAGCTGCTTTGGTACCTCATCTCACTGTTATTAGTTGTGAACTTTTTTTGTTGTTGTTGAATTAGACAAGAATAAGCAGTTACATGTATTAATTTTCTGCTTTTGCTGGGAAGATGTAACAGTGATGAATTCCGCGACAGTTAAAGACTTGAAACAAGCTGTTCGGAAAAGGATTGATGACAGTGAGCAATCTAAGATGGGCCATCGGCATATTTCTTGGTATGTTGCTTGAAATGTTATAGGACTACATAACTTAGTGTTCTTAGAGTTGGCTCATGATATCCTCATAGCCGTCTTATGGATACATGCTCCTTTTCCTCTTTGTAACGGGAATAAAAGTGCTACAAACTCAAAGACAAAAAAAAATTTGGACACGTGCTGTAAGAGGTTAAATATGTTTCGGTTCCGCAGAAGCAAAAAGAAGAGAGTAAACTGGAGACAGAAAAAAAATAAGGGAAAAAGAAGCAAAAAGAAGAGAGTAAGGGAAAGGTCGAAAGTTTGCTAAATCAGAAATTTGCCAAGTGGAACTGAATTTGAAGGTAGCCTCAGAATGATGATATGGTGCTGGACCTGCTGGTACCTATTCATAGAGGATTTATAGCTATCTTTTGGGGAGTAACCTAGAAAGAGCGAGTGGCCAGGTATTCACCAAGCTGAATTGCTGCCAGCCAATGTAGGTGCCTCTGAAGACATTGTAACATAACTCACCAACACTTTTGACAAACTACAATTGGTTGATTCATTAGATGTTTCTGTCTACTTTAATGGAGAATATTTGATACACATAAATCCTTCTGGAACCCTGACTCGTGTAAGTGCTAGTACTTTCATTTCCATGCTGAAGAAAATAGATTTGTTGGCGCACCGATTCGTCATTGCATCTCTTTGGCTCACTTGATGTTCTAGTGTATACTAGCCGGAACTTTGATTGAACTTTTAGCTTCTATACTTTACTATAGTTTTAACATCAATTACCTTGTTCAAGATTTTATTTTAATGGTCAAGCATAGATCACTTGAGCTATAGCTTGATCATACTCGTTTTGAGCTACTTGTAGAAATGCTAACGTTTATTTTCTCTCCCTTTTACTAACTTGAATATTTATTGTTGATACACAGGAGGCATGTCTGGTCAAATTTTTGCCTTTTATTTCACAATGAAAAGTTACTTGACGATACTGCTAAACTTCAGGACTACGGCATTAGGAACAATGCTCAGGTATTCTTCTTTGATGCTCACATTCATGTTGCAATTACATTACCAAATGTCAGTATTTGTTTTTCAGAAGATACCCATAATGATCTCCAGAAGTTGTAAATATACCTGATATCAAACTGTAATCTAATTGTAGAAAACACTCATGAAACATTTTTGACCAGAGAAGAGTTTCAAAAACCTAATCTCCCATGAGTCACAATTTCAGATGTTGATATCAGATTGCAAGTGTCACTCACCTTTGGCTTATTGGTATTAAATCCCTAATGAAGGGAATCAGCTCCGCAGATTGCAATAGAACCTTTCTTATCGTGTGACTATGGGTTTGCCATATCGTAGAATAAACAGGTGTTTAAAGCCATAAACAATTTCTGTTAGACAGATAAAGCCAATGCTTCAAATAACCTCATCTCTAGTTAAGTCAAATTAGTATTATTAATAGTTGCCAAAGTACAGTGGTTTCTCAACATTGTAGTCACTTGAATTACCCACTAACTAATGTTGTTACAAAGTCTTCTGATATTCCATTTGGTAGAAGCCAATGTACGGAGTTGAGCTTCTTGTAATCCAGGGTTAATGCAGATTTGTAACCCATGTCCATATCCCTCGAAAGTGCTTGATTCAGTCTCATGCTGATTAGACCTTAAGTTTCGTACAGTGCTTCATTGGAAACTGGAAAAACTACATTAGCTTAATACGTGCAACTTAGCTAGTACACACGTCAGAAGCATGGGTAAACTGTAAAGCATGGGTAGTATTATTTACAATTTGCCCTGCTGAAGCTCTGCAGTTGCAGCAGTTAGTATCATATAAGTAAATAGCAACTGGTAGATGTCTGACTCAATCTCTCCAGCTTACAACTATAGTGCAAAGACTAATGCAAGCTTCAACATGGATCAGTAATGCATTAATATCTGGAGTATTACCATATTAGGCTGCAGCCCTATAGTGACCACTTCCATAATTTGGAATTATCCTCAGGTGCTTGGAATAAATTAAATCATCTATAGAGCCAACTCTGGCAATTTCCAAATATTAGTAGTCCGATCATAATGATATCCTGCTTAATATTCTTAAAGGATCAAGTTCATGAAAGAACTATTTATTGAAAACTACAGTAAGTATAAAACCTAGCAGAGGAATTGGATTTCTCGTTGTCTTTGGAACATTTTAAATTTCAAGGGTGATGTGTTATTTGCTTGTCCTGCAAATCATTGTGATCTCTTGTCCCGCAGATTGATTGTGGAAAATGGAAATCGACCTTTTGGTCTATATTGTACTGACTTTACCTTTAAGGGTCTTCCTTTTCCTTTTTGAGAAATAGTACAAAATTATATCAAACGGCTAGGATGGAGATGTGAATTTTCCTCTAAAAGAGGACTAGGTTTTACATTCCAAATATTGGCTCTCTTGAAATAGTGAAAGCTGGAATACCATTTTTGTTGGCCTCTTGTAAGAGCTTGTCTGATTCTCGATTCGTTCTTGTCTAACTTGAGAAGTTTGACAGGTGCAATTCATTCCCTATGTCATCTCCAGGGCCTCAAAGAAGCATTCAAAGAGGAGAAAACACCGATTTTTTCATGGCCTAAGCAAAAAGGGACGAACAACTGATTGAATCAGGGGTCAGATTACCGTATACAGAAGCCATAGAATGCTTCTATCTGGCTTCTAACCATGGATGTAATAGCAACGCTGGTGTAAAACCAAGGAAAAGAAAATCAAGCCTAGGCGCCTTCTCAATTGCCTAGTTTTGACATGAGCTTGAATGGAGTGAGATGGCCAACAAGTATTCAAATAGTTGAGCTCTACTTTTGTGGATTGAGGTCTAGTTGCTGCTTTGTTCAACCGCCTAGCTTTATAAAGTATAGCTACGAGAGGTACCATTTTATGTTAGATTTTTCCCTCTGTAGAAAACTCTTTGGTTAACCGTGTTACTTTCTGAAACGTTTTCTGGTTTTGTACTAGAAGCGTTAGCTCATCTGCTTTTGTTTGTGCCAAGAGACTAGTGCCCTTCAGATAAAGGTGTCCTCGGTTTGGTTTAACTTGATTTTGAGTGAGGTGCACAAATAGCCCCTTTTAGGACTGTTCGGACTGCTATTTAGAACATTACCAAAATTTAAAAAGCATTTAATTACATTATACAAACTGGCTATATCTTAAATAGCGTATCTAAAAGGGAAAAGGTCCAAAATTATCCCTTGACTATGCTATATTGTTTACTACTGCTACCCGTTATACTTTTCGTCCAAATCTATCCCTATCGTTAACAAAGTTTGCATAATTGCCCCTAACCCTAACGGATCTACACCGAGCCCCTCAATTTTCTCCATATCAGCTGCTAAGTCACTCGACTCCACCAAATAAAATGCCAAGGTGGAGTCCATATCACCACTTTTAATAATATCTTAGTTATTGCATTTATTAACGTGTCAGGTAAGAGTCCATGTCACTATTTAAAAATATATTTTATTTATTACACTTATTTACTAAATCAGCAAATTAAAAAAATCCCAACAAATTTGTTATAATTTGAGATTCAAGCTCCCCAAAAGATCCAAACAAAATAATTCACATTTTCATAAAATTGTTTCACTGTTTCGTTCCTTGTTCCAATTTCATTGTTGTCGTTTGGGGTAAATTCTCTGAAACCTGATTGTGATTTTGGGTGATTGAAAAGGAAAAATCTGACTGAGTTTAATTGTTAAGCTGAGATCTAAACTTGTTCGTTGATGGCGACTTAAAAAGGGAGTGTTTACTTCAGAAAACCATCAATTAGTCAGTACGCCTTCAATCTTGTTTAAGGATGGCGACTTCACTGGTAGCTCAACTGCAGCGGTTAGCAGTTCGGAATGAAGCCGATGATAACGAGCTCGATATCATTATCAACATTGCTCTCCCAGATCCCCAAACATTACTCAAATCCACGAAATTAGTGTTTGATTCATGACTTTAAGCTCAAAACGACAACACCCAGTCGATCTTCTCCATAAATAATCAACTAATCTAAGATTATACCGTAGCTGGTTTCAAGAGCCATTATTGGAGAACACCATTGTTGACATATTGAAGGTCTTCAATTGTGATTCCTTTGGTGTTTTCAGCAATGATGATTTGTTAATAGGATAAGAAGACTAAATTTCATTTCGGTGGAGGTATAATCAAAAGGTAAAGGGAAAGAATGAAAAAAATGAAAAAATGTTGAGAAAGGATTTCATTTTTAGGGGGTGGGGTAAGGAGATTGTATGGGGAAATGGGACCTGCTTACTTGGCAAGTGACATGGAGAAAATTGAGGGGTCAGCTGCCACGATATAGATCCGTTAGAGTTAGAGGCAATTATGCAAACTTTATTATCGGTAGGGATAAATTTGAACGAAAAGTATAACGGACGGCAAAAGTAAACAATATACCATAATAGAGGGGTAATTTTGGACCTTTTTCCTATCTAAAAGCTATTCTACCTCGAGTTTTACTCAAAAAGACACTAAACTGACGATATCACAAGGCTAAACATAAAAGCAGATATTTTTTTCTTTATTAGGATAAATAAGGATAGGGCATTAGAACAGAACCGTGGCCAAATATTATACAGGATATTTACATATAAATAAGATCTATAATTGTACAGAGTGCAACAAACACCCGTGTCAAATGATCTACTCTGCCAGCCAAGTAAAAACCTAACTACATTGACCATCAAAACATGACTTTAAGGAATGAATTCTAGCAAGAGTAGACCGCAAACAGACCCAATTGACTAACTACTAGAAATACATATATCTGTTGACTGACTTTTCTTGTTATACCCTACCAAACGTATCAGATTCAAAAGTCTGATTTCATAAGCTGCATTCGTGGCGTTATCGCGACATCGTCAAAGGGTATCACCTGCTCTACATGGATGTAATCTCTTGTTTTAAGAACCTGCAATAAACACAGGTGAGTTAAATGCCATTTGTGCGAAGGAGAGGAAAAAAGGTGCAACGAGAAAGTAGAAAAATGATAAGAGGTATTAATTACATACCAAAGTTTCAAAAAACATCCTTGATGCCTCCTTTCGTGTTTTACCAACTAAAAGACCGTCCATGGAGAGAGATTTTCTCCCACGCTCAGATTCCTTAATAAACAAGGTTTGGAGGTACTTGGAAACAGCCCTAAGTAAACAAACATCATTGTGAAAAGACGCTGAAATATTAGTTCATAAACAATAGCATCTAGCTATAAGCATGTCAAGGAAACTATTAAGATAAAATTAGAATAAATAACAGACCCTATCTAGAGGTAAAAGAAAGGAAGCCAAAGACATGCTGGTTCAACTACTGCTTACCAGGCCGAGCTTTATTGATAGACTATCTTAATATACCACATTTGTTAGTTGGCAAAAAAGACTAACTAGACCTTTCTGCAGGCACTATAAGAAGAGGGATAGCTGAATCAGAGCAAGAAGGCAAGGGGGCAAGATATGGGGTAGTTCATCCGGTACTCTAGACGTGAATTACTTCCTTCAATGCCAATACTTGTCAAGGAAAAAGAAAAGACGAGATGCACCTTTTAAGACATAAAAGAACGATCACAAGTTTCGTCAAAATATAAGGTGAGAGCCACAAGGAAGAGAAAAAGAACGCAAAACAAGCGAGAAGCGGGAATTTAAAGAGGTCCTTTCCCGAACGCATTTCTGTTGTGAAAATATTGAGCTTCGCGGGTTACTTGACAATTTTGTACCCTTACAGATCAGTGAGCGAAAAGGCAGGGGAGGGTAAATTTGCCTAAAATGTCACTCAGTTTGTGCAGCCCTGTTAGAGCAGCAGAATAACAGGAAACAAAAGGACAAGCTACACACCTAGTACGAGAAGACCATCCACTGTTCTCGGTGATACGGGTGACATCAGCATCAGATACATAATCATCAGCTGCTTCAGCTTCTTCATCATCATCATCGAAGTTCAAAAACCCTAGATACCAACAACAATGCACCAGAGCTAAGAGCATGGAATCACAAACACCTTTGAGAAATCTTGCAAAAAACTCCCAATAAACTTACATTAATGAGGTTGGCACCAAGGTCGGTTTTTGTTAGTTAAATATAAATAGTTATCTTAGGTGAAATATAGCATTGGTCTCTCATCTCCCATAAATACAGCTATATACATTGTAAATTGTTCCTATAAACGGATTCTGGGTTAAGACATTACTAGTCTTCAGACATCTCTCAAACTCTTCGAAGTGTGTCACTTATTTCTTCACATGTTTAAATGCAACAGGGACAAAGAGGAGTCACAACCTACGTCAATGTTTACGTTAAGAAGAGACCTTCAAAACAATTTTACAACAAATAACATCAAATCAAATGCAGATTTTGGTAAGCCATCATCGAATTTACATTACCATTAGAAAATTCAGATACAAAGTTCTGAAATCCATTAAGTAACCAAACATGTCTACTGTCATTGCAAATTCAAAACTGCTTTCATCCTTTATCCTACTCCAGTTTGACATTGTTTGATTTTCTTTCTTTTGAGGCTATTGGAAGTTTTTAGGTCTTACAAAGTTGCAGATGAGGGAAAACAAACCTGTATCATCTCCAGCAGCTGAATAATCCAGATCCTGCTGAAAATACAACAAATGAGAAAAGCACAATTCAGCAGAGAGCAGATATCAAAGAAAATCTCTTCGTTAAAGCAAAGAAAAACAGCATCATTTCAAGCCCATTTCAACAAAAGCAACTAGCTGACAAAAAATCTATTAGTTTGGAAAAGCAAAACAGCGCAAGACTAAAGGGAACATCCAGCGTACATGTTCATCTGCATGATGACAAAGTTTCTCATACATATTGCTACCCAAAAAGGTTTACCAATCACTTATAGCCAAGACTATAAATTATCCAATTTCCAGATTCTTTACGGAAGCTCTAATTAGTTCCTTGTCAGCACAAATTTGTGATGCCCTACAGTTTGTAGTTATACTTCATGTAATAGGTTATTTAGCAAAATTAGTTAAGATGAGCATATTGACATTTTCTTTAATCAACTCACTTTCTTACAAAATTCAATAGAAGCTATATTTTAAGAGTACTCCAGTTTTGCTGTTCATAATTGTCTTTTTAAGGCCTAAATAAAATCTGCTTTCAGCAGTCGCCTTTTACTATCTTGACATCTCACACTATCTATAACGATCTAGAAGTAATCCTGGGCACTTCTATCAAGTACATCAAAACAGAACAAATGTTTGTCATACATGTGTGTGCGTGTGTAGAGAGAGAGAGAGAGAGAGAGAGAGAGAGAGAGAGAGAGAGAGAGAGAGAGAGAGAGAGAGAGTACTGAAACTCCAGAAAACAAGAGCACATGGAAACTCGAAATTTAGCAGAACTTACATTAAGGTCCCCCCGACTGGCATCAGAGAAATCTGCAGCCACCGTATTGTAGGAGAAATCTTCTTCTTTACATGGATATTGTCCAGCTCCTATGGAGTGATCCAGCATATAATCCATTTCTTCATATACAATATCCCTGTTAGGTGGGTCAGTTCCTATAACATTATCAGCAAAGCTCTGGTTGTCATTCTCTGCTACAATATTTTCTACATCAGTTGCATCTTTAACTGTAGCACTGTCTTGGGCAGCCTCCAGTAAAACTGCATCACCTATCATATTTTCAGTTCCAGTTCCAGCTTCAGAAGTAAAGCAGCTGTTTTCTGGCCACTCACTACCATCCACTAGGTTTTCATCGTTCAAATTTTCCAGAGCCTTATCAACTTGAGCAGCCAGTGTATGATTAGGTGGTCCACAAGATACTTCCGCTAAAATAAAAGCATCTTCCTTTCCAGACTCATTAAACGAATCGGCCAGAGGTAGACCTGCTACTACATCACCATCGCCACCTAACCCACCGTTATTATGACATGACAATAATTCTTCAGCAGCAGAGGCGATATCTGTTGCTTCAGCTGCCTGAGAACCTGAAAGGCAAGTTCCATGTGGTCCTACTTCTGCTGCATTGTCTGAAGGTTCAAGATTAAAGTCATTGGGCACCGCAGCATCAGTGATGGCGTCCGGCCGCAGTTGAGAGGCATCACTATTTAAACATTGGCCATGCTCATCAACATCCCTGTTCTCAGTTGGAACAGTAGCCTCAACAGCTCCTAATATGCTATCATCTCTAGCTACATACCGTTCATTGCTTCCTTCTATTCCAATCTCTCTTTCAACATGTGGTTCATTGAACACCATGGCACGCTGTTCGTCCAAATTTGAGATGGAATTTTCAGTATACACAGCAGTTAGCTGTGGGTCAACCGCCATCCCAGTATGAGAACAGCTAACATCACTAGAAGAGACCTTCACCATACTCAAGTCAAATTTTTGCTTATGTAAAGAAGCCAATTCCACTGACATATCTGCATCAAAATCAAATTCAGTCAATATGATGAACTAGTATCCATTACAGGAAAGACCATTGGTATTATGCAGCACCAGAAACAAAGTTGAGAAGGCAATAATGTAACTTCTCCTAACATGAAACAATTAGCAAATGAACTTAAACACTATAAAACATGTGCTTGTACTTTGAGGGTGTCTTCAGAAAAGCTATCTGACAGCACTTGACATAAAGTCCAACTATACTTGTTTGCCAAACACATCAGTTTGACAGCTCCACAGCGTACATCCGAGTAGAGAGATGTTAAATTAATCAATGGAAACGAATCTCCAAGGAACTTGAGGTGTAACTAGCTCATATAAGCACTTCGACGGATTAAAAACTGACGATATGTCATCTTTTATAATGTTCTCAGTTATTGATCCACAACAAAAACAATTGCATGATTCAACAAAGGAGATAATCAAATAGCAGAATGTGTAGAGTTGTATGTTGAACCCACCAGTTAATACCGCTTCTCTGAAAATTTCATCTTCCAACAACTTTTTCTGGATTGCTGCGATTTCAGCATGTGTGCAAGGAGCTTTCTTCCTTATGCGGCGTATGTCCTCAGCATGTATCAACTGTTGTCTTATCATACTATCACAAATGCAAATATGCTTTGTCAGTCAGTTAAAGGGTGAGGCGAGTCGAGCTATTTAAACAAAAACCAATTTTTCAGTTCATCAAGGAATAACTTATCGGGAAAAAAGTATTTCACTGGGAAATAAGGCAGAATTGACAAAACAAAAACTAACTATTTGGAGTGACAGTAACTGAGAGGGAACCTAACTGAATTGGCCATCATTCAGATCCCACATCAATTCACTACTAGATAGCAAACACTGGAATAGCCACTAGAAGCGTCAGCTATTGGCATGCCGAAAACGAACAAAAGACAGTCAGTTCTTTTTTTGTTTTAAATGTAAAAGATAATTAATTCTTTTAGTGGACTACAAACAGGTGAAGATGTATTATGGTTGCAAGGCAGCAGTAAGGGTTTATTCAAAGTTAATGCAGCTTACAAGAGGATGAATTATTCCAACCGGCAGATAGCCAACTGGCCTTGGAAACACATCTGGAAAACAAAAATTCCTCACAAAGTCGCTTGTGTTGTGTGGCTACTGGCTAAAGAAGCAGCCCATACACAAGATAATTTGATGAAAAGAGGTTTCATTTTATGTTCCAGAGGAAACAGCAGAGACAGTTAACCATCTCCTCCTTCACTGTAAGGTAACAGCTCATCTATGGAGAATTATTCTTAATTTCAAGGGCATTTCCTAGACCATGCCTGGGAAGGTTACAGATGCTCTTAATAGCTGGGAGGAAATAGGCCTACAAGCAAAGGATAGGACCAGATGGAGAACTATCCCTGCTTGCATTTGGTAGACAATTTGGAAGGAGACAAACTCCAGGTGTTTTGAGAATGAGGAGAAGGGGGTGCAGAAGATCAAGTTAAGCTTTATTTTGCTGTTGTGTTTTTGGTGTAATCAGATCTACACAAATGATACTGTCACTATTATTGATGTTTTAGATTCAATATAGAGAGAGGACAGTAATAGTTAGAGCTTCTTGTAGATATGGTTTCAGTACTATCTAAGTACTGTTTTGCCACACATGAATTATGAAATATAGAAAAGTTACCAGTTTCAAAAAGATAATCAATTCTCTTTCCACTTTTTTGGGGGGGTAACTGTGGTGTTCGAGCCAGCTTGCGCGCCTCGACTATTCCACAGCGTACCTACATCCTCCCACCACAACAGGCACCGGATAACACTGCCCACCAATACATAGGCATAGATGGGAATAAATCACTTAGCTTTTTTGTCTCTGCTGGGATTCGAACCCTGGTCTCCCATGGTCTTTATTCCAGCTTCATCGACCGCTAAGCCACAACCTTGGTTGCACAAATGGAAATGATGGAAAAATGTGTTAGAGGTATCTCCGATCCAACCAAGAACCAACTTGATTATAAGAGGATCTGTTCAGGATCATTAGGAAGGATTAGGTTGTTCTATTTGTCATCGACATTATATTTTTTAACAGCACTGATCTAGATAACACGAGAACCAGAGTGCTAGACTAGAAGTCATGATAACAGTTGCCAGATCGCTGAAGCGCTAAGCAATAGGTTACCCCAATAACAAGGGTTGTGCATTAAAAGTTGACTGGGAAAAACACAAAGCAACAAGACAAGGCGACCACAACAAATGTGCAACATCGAAGCAAAGCCTATAAAAAGAGATGCCTTTGACCATTGGATCGGAATAAGACCAGCACCTAAACTCTGGCACACACTAAAGAATTCAGTAATGCAAGAGAAGCTAGACCGAGATTTTATTACGCTACAGATGCAGATCTTATTTAATAGTAGACCGAAAAGCAGAGCCAAGAAAATGCTAGTTCCTATTTTCAGTCTGCTTGATGATATGGATCCATTTATAATTGTTTAAAGCCCAAGATACATTTTTATTCCTTTTATATGGTTTAATTCTGCTATATTTTGGCCACAAGACAGGAAATACAAATCACCCGGCATAGTGATATAAACTGATGAAAAACCAATACGTATTTGCAGGAAATGAAACAAAAATATACAGATGATGGAACATACTCTCCGTGCAAGACCATGATATCATCCATAAGAACATTCCTCCTTTTACTGGCACTCATTCGGGCAGCAGAACGGGGACGCTTGCTTGATGTTATCTCAGAAGGTGGAGGAGTAGGCTTAAGCTTCAGTGCTGAAGATCTTCTTCCAACTGAAATGGTAATGAAGATTGTAAGCTGGTCGTAGGTTCAATCCTTGCATGCGACATAATATTATCCTTACTTTGACAGGCATATTATAAACATTACTCTTTGCAGAATTGTGGCAAATAATTTGGGAAGTGGGAATGCTTCACAGGAATCAGTAAAGAGGACATATGCCATATTCTAAAGAAGAAGAGCCAGAAATTTTCATTAAGATGAAAAATAGTCACCCTTCCATTTTATAAAGTCCGGGAGGAGAATACTAATGTACCTAGGATAGAAGAAAGCAAATCATCATCATCAGGAATAAATCCTGCAGTCTTTTTGGAACGGACCATCCTTAAAGATTCAGCTGAGTAGAGACTCTGCTCTGTTAGTGTGCTCTCAGCGTAACTGCGCTTCCTTCCTGAAATGAATTCACCACTAGCATCAGCTTCATTGATCCCCGCTAAGTAATCCGGTGTAGCCTCTGGAAAAATACTCCGAGGTAAATCAACAAGCCCTCCTGGCATCGATAGAATCTTTTCAGGAGGTGGCAAGGCAGAAGCAGCTGAACCGCTCATAATTTCCACATGGCGATCTTCTAGAACGACAGTATCCGTTTGATTAGTTGATTTGTTAGATTCTTTTGGAATGTCTTCACATGAAACAGGTTCTTTCACGGGATTCTCTTTTGAAATTTGTTCTAAATCACCTGCTGCATGACATGTTTCAACTGGAAGTGTAAGAGTACATTCGCATTCTGCAAACAACATTACAATAAAGCACACAGATTTATCCCCAAGAAACCTAGAACTCTAGCAGAAATACCTGAAGCATGTGATTCCTCCTCTTTAGAAGTTTCAGGTGGGTGGAAACCCAAAAAAGTAGATGGTGGCTCATGATTAATAACATGCTCAGACCTAGACATTGATGTGTCAAGTTGAGCAGCATTACATCGACTCAGAACATGAACCTGGGCACCATTGGCGTCTTCAGCAAAAACACTTTGTTCCAGACAATCAACGGTCTTTGGTGTCTCTAAGCAAGTTATATCTTGGGATTCACCAGCTTCCAAGTTTCCTGGACTTGCAACGTTATTTGAAACTGCCTCAGGTGATCTCTGATTACTTGGTGAAATATCTTCAGGAACAGGCTGGCCAATGCTACTTAAAGCAGAAACAACATGGTCAACTTTTGCGGAACTAATTCCATTTGGAAGTCGAGCCTCGTCGTGGAAGCCACCAGGGGTAGATACATCAACCTTGTCCTCCGTGTTCCTCTCATTTGCTTGACTATCAGATGCAGCAATAATCTCATATGCACATTCTAGTGCAGATGATTTTGAATTAGCCTGATGAACAGCAGCAAAGGATGGTCCAGATGCTACCGGGGGATCAATTGACTTCACAGGATCAATTGCAACTTCAGTTGGAGGCAGCTGTAGTGCAGATGATTTTGAATTAGCCTGATGAACAGCAGCAAAGGATGGTCCAGATGCTACAGGGGGATCAATTGACTTCACAGGATCAATTGCAACTTCAGTTGGAGGCAGCTGACCATCCGGCACCAGTTGTTTGTCACACGTGTTGTCTAAATGGTAACCATTCTCAGGAACCACGAAGTGAACAGTACCAGCATTCGAGCCATCAGTTAGTGCTTGATTTTCTAGAAGTTCACTCCCGTTATTCACATTATTTTCACGAGAGAGATTCTCTGTATTTCCTTTTACAGCATATTCCATTAAATGACGATCTTCCAGTCCTATATGGTCCTCACATGCTGATGTTTCCTGAATGTTAGACAAGTTCGGTTCCTCCGCCAACCCAGGAGTGCATGGAGCATGATCCATGAAATCAGCATCGCCATCAACTCCATCAATCTGCGCAGAAAGAAAAGGCCTTGATCATTCTAGCAAGTATGATAAGGTACATAAAATGAGATGTTTGACAGAAAAAACAACAAATAGTCGATAACCAGCTATTATATATGGAATAAAGGACAGATAGACTAGTTACCATGCTCTCGGAATTGGCAGCCATCTCTTCATCATGCTCTTCTTGTTTGAGTGGTGTCATTGGTTCAACGGATGCTAGAGGATCGGCACTAGAATCAGCAAATTTTTGTGTCAGATAGTCATATGATTTAAACTGTAATAATATAGTATTGCAGCCTGATGGATTGACAATCCAAAACACCTATTATAGATGTTTGATCTGCCCCAACAGAACCCCAAGATTAGAAGTCAAGAGAGTCAGAAAAAATACAAAAGAAAAAAGGAACATCAAGCTGCAATGTTTTTGGCTCATTTCACGCCAAGAATCCAACCTGACGTATTAGCCCTGGTATTCAATAACCCTATTTGGCACTAGATGGATTCTGCATCAATTACTTAGTAAACCATGCGTATATAAGTTTTTGGCAAAATTCATCTTGGCAGTAGGGTACTCATACACTTGAAAGAATCTTAACAGCAGAGAGAAATGTGAATATAATAAATTTAAGGTACAGTGAGCCTCTAGCAGATAAGATTACAGAGCTTTGTAAACTAGATTGGACAAGTTTCACCACAGTAATATCAACAAAATCACATTCCTTCTCCCCACTTACCGGTAAATCCAAGGGGATTTTAGAAAATTAACTAGGTAAACGGCATGCAGTTATAATCAGGTATGAAATGGCTTAAATCTGTCACACAAAATGAGGGCATAACAGGAGGTAAAGAAAACCATATCATAGTTTTAAATTAGATGAAGCTCCTAAGAAACTTGTTGCTGGGATATGTCTGATATATATATGGCTTTAATCAGAAATATCCTTATGGACATGGAGGTAGGGGAATATTATAAGAGGCCGTGTATAATTTGAGATCAACCTCACACTAGCATCTCCAGCAGCAGCAACCTTGTCCAAAAATAATTCCTGTTTGCAATTAGAAGTCCAAAATCAGAATGGAAGATAGATAAAATGACATAACACTGTAATACACATTTCATCCTTTATCAAAAGGAGATACACATTTCTTCGCAAAAGGAGCACATTTCCTGCATCAATGGAGGACTACAGATTAACAGCTATTGGACATAATTCATGTAGAAAATATGCCATTAGCAACCATGACGCTTGAACAAGATTTTTTCAGTTAGGAAGTTTCTCTTTCTCATGACAGGATAAATAAAACAATGTACACCATGACCAATTATTCTTCCCTGGAGATCCTTTAGAAAGAATTTTGTATATCCTCATAAACATATACTTCTTTTTAGGTGTCTATTTCTGTCCTGTAAGGCGAAGTGCTCAAGACAAAAAAAATACTTCACACTGGAAAATTAATTTAAAACATTGAACCAATAAAAAGAAAGGGGAAGGTAAAAGAAGGTAAAGAAAGGAAAAAACAACAAAAAGAAAAGGGAAGGGGAAAGAAGGTTAAAAAAAAAAGAAGGAAAAAACAAAACATTGAGACACATGCACATACATGGAGAAAACACTAAATTGAGACGCATGCACATACGTGGAGATTGAACCAATAAAAAGAAAGGGGAAGGGGAAAGAAGGTAAAAGGGGGCAAAAACAAAACATTGAGACACATGGAGAAAACACTAAATTGGAGAAGCTGCAGTATATCTATCCAATATTCCACAAAGCTCAACTGTTCTAGCACCATAGAAATAAATAAACACTAAAGAAACTTTCATTTAGAAGTAATACACACTTGAGAAACTTCCGGGTGCTTAACTTGAAACAAAAGACCGGCTTTTATTTTTATAAAAAATCATTTCCCATGAAAAGCAACCACGTTCCTTTTCCCCAATGCACCCACAACATAGCAAAAGGGGTGACATTCAGTGCTTTGGAAAAAATCCTTTTCCAACCTTCAATTGTTCTGCTCCTTATTTCTTTGGGGGTTGGAGCTTGTAGGTCCTCCACTTCCTAGAATGCACCTTCTACTTTCCATAGATTTCATTATTCTATAATACCATTTTATCTCTAGCACTAGACTCTAAAAAGAAATGTCAAGGAACTCAACAAAACAAGACAAAGAGGTTGCATCAGAACATCAGTAGTTTCAGCACAGACAAACATGGAAGTAAAGAAAAAGAAGCAGCAGAACTTGGAAGCATCCCATTTCCAAAGGAAAGAAAAAGGAAAGTAAACACTATATCATGTTCAGTGAAGAGGTGCTTCCAATTGAACAAGTTTGGATTGTAAAACTGGATGAAGAAGTCTTGTCTAAGTGGACATAAATCAATCACGTTCCTGCTTCCTAGTAAGCATCCAGGACTACAGAATATGGTCAAAATCTAAGCAGCTTTGATAATCATATTGCTGAAAGGCTAAGATCTCAATTCCGAGCAGCTCATGAACACACCCACCCCCCACCTCACCCCACCCCACCCCCCACCCCAAAAAAAAAGAGCTGCAGTTCCCGGCTTCCGTCAAGAAGGCAAGAATAACAAGGAAAGGGAAGGCATTGGAATTAAGGTAAATGAAATAAAGCAACAAGATAACGCGAAGCTAAGAGGTGAAATAATAATATGATCTTACCTCATCAAGGTATAAACCAGAAGTGTCACCATCCCCAAATCTCTCTGAGCAAAAATCACCATGCAACATATGAGTATCAGTGAAATAACAAATATAGAAATCAGTTATCCAAAGTAATAATTACCATCCAATCCAAACTTCGAAGTTGAGTAAACCACGCCCTCCATGTTATCTTGTAGTGTAATCTGCTCCCTTGAACTAACATGATGATCCACATAGTTACTGCAGAATTGACATTGACTTTAGTAGAAAAAATTGAGGTATAGTGAGCTCTAAGTGGACCATAACACAATCATCCACCAAAATAGATTAATTGATGAACAGGACGAGAAGAAAAAGATAAGTACTTCAGACATCCATTGCTATTTACTCCACCCTTAGATCTCATTTAGCAAAAATTGAGCAACTCCCACAGCCAGCAACTATAGTACTCCCTCCATTCCAATTTATGTGAACCAATTTGACTGGACACAGAGTTTAAGAAAGAAATAAAGACTTTTAAAACTTGTAGTCCTAAACAAGCCATACATTTGTATGGCTAATATTCTTTTTGAAACTTGTTTAAACATGCCAGAGTATTTGTGTGGCTATAAAAGCTTCTCATTCAGGGTAGAAGTGGAAGTTTAATTATTTCCAAATTCAGAAAGAGGCCATTCTTTTTAGAACGGACCAAAAAGGAAATACATCCACATAATTGGGAAACGGAGGGAGTATGTTGTATTCTCGTAAAAGCCATGACATGCAGCAAGCTAGTAATATAATAAAGAGACAACAAAAAGATAGACTGGAACTGACCCCTGAAAAATGTCATTGTCTGGCAATTCAAAATCATCAAGTTCAAAAGTCTCTGGCAAGGTGATTGAGTGATATGGAGCCTTAGATTCTTCAGGTGGTAAATCCACAGCGGTGGAGCGAAAAGCTTGCTTGACTTTTAGCAAAGCCTCACTGCAATCGTCGAATAGGTAACCCACCTTTCGAGAATATATCCTCACAACTCCAAGAAGAAGATGGCTAGATAACCGCAATGCAATTGGCGCTTCAGGAAAAAGGATTGAGTCTGTTGCAGAAGAACAAGACAAGTTAAAAACAAAAGGAAGAATACCTTTCGTGATTGAGCAACAAAAAGAAAATTAGTATTCAGAAGAAAAGGATGGAGATAAGATGACCTCTGGCTCTCAACCCACCAATTAGAAACATTGTTGAAAAAGCACATTCATCCTATTTAAGCACGACCTACATTTCCTGTCTTTATTTATTTTTTTAACCAAAAGCTTCTTTAACAAGTTCAATGTAAAGTAGCTGTTCCCTTCAAAATATCATAGGCACAAAAGTCTGTTGGAACCAAAAGAACCAGACTATTCATATATTCAGATATATATGGTAATAAGCAAGAACTTGCTGAAACTTGTATCGGTTGAGCCTTACAGAAGGACGCTATTTTACTGTTAACTAGAGTTAATGAGCAGGCTGTCACTTCTTTTACCATGGGTTAAAAACGGGCATGCGCTTTACTGCAGAAGCTCTGGTTTACTAGGTGCAGACTCTTGGTGCTTTCTAATATAACTACTTTACTTATCAGAAGCCAAAATAACTAATTAAAAAAGTGCAATACCAATGGTGGTACAAGATCACACGGCACACAAATTTTGACCACGTTCAAGAAACTTAGCTTTCCACATGATTAAAAGTTAAAACCCTTAGAAAGAGGGTTTATAAGCTGCAAAATATTCTCTTCTTAAATAATAGGTATACACAGGTAAACCAAACGTAGTTGCAAAATTTAAATTTCTTTTAAGCATTGCATTACATAACTCAAATCACCTATATTTTCTTCAGATTTTTCAGCCTAAGGAGCACAAATAAACTACTTTTTCATTTATTTTACATGTATGTTCAACTTGCCTCTGTGTGAAATATACTAAAGAGGAAAAAGTAATTCACTAAAAGAAACTGGAAAGTATTTCTGCAAAGAAACCCAGAAAGAGCCAGAAGTAGAGCTTTCAATCTTTTTGTGGTGAACTTTGTCACATCTTCATTGCTCCTTTGATATTTAAAGGTAAGTATCTTTATAAGAAGGAACATCCAATGGGCATGCGAGGCCAACACAAAGACCCAGAAAGATTCAAAGATCTCTTTTTCACTCCTCATAGTTGTATTTACTCCCCAAATCACTCCCTCGGTCCAAAGCGTGACTGATTTTCTTTAATGACACATTTTCCTCCCTCCAACAATTCAAAAAACTATAAACTAAGTAGTAATTCATATTATTCAAAACTTTATACAGCATCTTTTTAGGTAACTATTCCATTATGACATTTCTAATCATTACTCAAAATAGCTCTCAAACTGTCTAAAAACATTTTATTCATAATCTCCAATAAGCCAATGTGATTCGTGAATCCAGGAACAGAAAAAGTATAATTCAAGTTCTCCTCTTGATACAACCGACATAATTAGAACTTTATACATTTGAAAAGTTAAATACTCATATTTCTAAGATACGGATAAATATTGGGTCTTCTTTTAATAACCAGATATATATTGAAGTCATTAAAGGTTGTATTCAGTGAAGTTTATATTCATTATTTTTTTTTTTTTTGATAAGGTAAATTGTATTAATCAAAAGAGAGAGAACTCCCATTTACAGGAAGTATACCACGAAGTTTATATTCATATTTCTCTTCTCATCCTTTTTCGTTGCCTCTTCTTTTTTAATGAGTTCATTAACTCTCTCTTTTGTCATAAAGAGGGATGGAAGCATCCATGGACGAAGAGTTCCAATGAAAATATTTTTACACGATTGCAGCGTGCAGATAGCTCACAAAGTCGAACAAGGAGAGTTTAACATCCTGGTACTACGCCCTTCAAACTTAAAAACATAATGAAACAACACAGAACAGCAGTTTGAACGCAGGAAATAATCAATTGCTAAAATTTCACTAAAATGAAAAAAATGAGAGCAAGCCCATTAGTCCACAGTTAACAGAAGCATTGTGACTGCCTATACACTTGAGATGTTAAAAAATGACGGTCAGGGGCATTAAATGGCAGATCTTTTTTTTTTACAAATGTGATGTCAGGACCAACTTGCACGCACATCAGCTAATAGCTAATTCCACAGGGTATCTACTAGCTCCGGCCGGCAAAGGTACCGGGTAATTCTGCCCATCAAAGTTTGGGCATATGGGAAGAAATCACCTAGTTTATTCTTGTTTCCGCTAGGATTTGAACCTAAGACGCATTAAGTGGTAATTTCCTTCTAGGTTGTAATCTAACCATCAAAATCCTATGAACTAGGATCAAATTTCAGTTAACCCCTAGAACGCCACTTGGTCATAAAGTAGCTTTATGCGTTTTTTTTTTTT